AAAGAATCGGAAAATAGTTTGTCTTCAAATAGTAAAATACGTGAAATGAATGCAATATTGTATTAAACAAAAGGTTAACTATTATTGATGTGAACAAAGTTAAGGTCATATATTGACAATTAATATTTTAAGTCAAGAATCGAGTTCCTTGTTTTAATAATGATTAGTACAACACAATTGTGGGTATATTTGCAATAAATTAATGTCTCAAAATCTAGTTTTTACAAATCTTGCTAATTTTGAAATATATGTGATCATGAAATTACAACATACTTTTAACATCGACCTCATCCAAGTGCCGACTAACCACGTGACTGTACACTAGCACTAAATGACTTCACATATCAATTGTACAGCGAATACTATAGTCACGTGGTTAGTCGGCACTTAGATGAGGTCGATGTAATATTGCTATCATAAATGTGTTAACTCGTATTAAAATAATTTCATATTTAATTCTAACATTTATTATATTTTCTATTTTCTAAATTTTTTGTTAGTTTCAATAAAAACGGAGTTTTCGGACAAATCCGGCATAAAATGGTCTTTTCGGGAGTTTTGCAAAATATGCCAAACTCGGGAAAATAAAAAGGAAACCTAGTTGCTTCACTATGAAGCCGTGTAGATAGAATTCTGAAAATTAGTTTCATAATTTAAGTTGACATCTCTAGGCATATGATTCCAAGTTTCATCAAGATCGGATGAATAGTTTATGAACAGGATTTTTTCAAAGTTTGTCAGTTGTTTTAATGTATTACTATGGGAAGGGGGCCTTTTTTGTATCATAGTTGAAATCATAGTTAAATTGATCATGTTCAAATACTAATAGAGATAATTCAAAACCCTTCCTCTTCTGACACCTTTGTTATTCAATGTATATAACGATATGCTATTCATTGGTCAACATTGACCGCTACCTCAACTGTGGCCACACAAAAATCAGTGATTAACCCGATTGGCGGCCTGTGTTCGGTCGGTTAACAATTGATTCCCGTTATAATTGATGTCACGATATCTGCACTAAACTATTGTCAGATAACTAATAGTGAATCCCAATAACTAAATAATCACTTCAAACACACCTTTAGTAAAAATATTTTCACATTAAAAATGAGATAATTTTTAGTCAAATATTTTGTTGTAAATTTTTCAAAATAATTCCGACCGACAAACTTTGAAAAAATCCTGTTCATAAACTATTCATCCGATCTTAATGATACTTGGAAACATGGAGATGGCAACTTAAATTATGAAACTAATTCTATCTACACGGCTTAATAGTGAAGCAACTAGGTTTTCATTTAATCCAATATTTTTATGATTTTCATATCAAGTGTTATGAAATACAATGAATGAGTTTTAACATTAGACTCTACGGCTAAGAATGATTGAAAAGAATAAGTCATAAGAATTAGAAACAATTATTTCAAATAAATTGTTAGCTTTATTGTAAAGAATTGTATTTAAAAATGAAAATCTTATATTAATTTGCATTTTATTTAAATTAAAAATCAATGATTTTTAGAAAAAATTACAAAACAATACATAATTTACTTTTAAATAAAGAAATGATTTGCAAATAAATTCAAACAAACAGTAAAATAAATAATAAATAATAACAATATATTAAATAAAAACAAAAAATTAAATCCAAATTAATATTTAAAAGGACTCGAAGAAGAATGACTCGAAGACGTGGAATCTCTACGTCGAGTGGTTGGCAGCTCTTCTCGCGATTGTCTCATCACTTGTGCCGAAGAGTTTGAATGGCTTACTATTGCAGCAAAGCATACAAGTTATGGTTAATTAATCATTGAATATATACTGCAATTGTATTATAAACTAACAGTCAATTAAGTTTGAAGTGAATGGTCCGCTTCCGGGACCCAAATGGGAGATATGACTGAAATCTGATGGACCACTGATTTGGATGCGAGAGTTCTGTTTACAACATTTAGTTTACATTTAATTGTTTCACAATTAATACACTTTAAAATTTGATACCTTTTTTGTTACTTCGCTATTATTGGTCCCCAATTGGGAAAAGCGTTGATTCGATGAATTGGCGCTCAATGTAAACGACTTCGTGGAGTCGCCTAACCATACAAATAATAAAAGTCAGCAATTGTTTACAATATGGACAACAGGTGTGTATAACAGACCTCCGACTTTTAGAAGACAATCATTTCTATTTGAAGCCACGATTTGGACCATAAGTGGTAAGTCATAAGCACTCGTCAGACATAATAATGATCTAAAGATATATTGATTAATACAATATTGCGATAAAAATATGTCCATTGCTTACTGTTGTCCGTGTGTTTGTAAAGGACGGGTAGATTTCAAATTGATTGTCTGAATCCATTGCGTTGACGTCATGTCGTAAACATCGATATGTGTCGATGAAAATGACAGCAGAAGTGAAGAATGGGATGCCGTCGAGAGAGTGGAGATATACAAGGGTTGAGTCGGGAATTGGAGCTCAAAAGGACGCGTTCGTCGGCCGTGAGAGTCGACATAAACGCCATAATCTTTACAAAAGCAAAATATTGCATTTAATTTGGTTTGAAGTAATCAATGGTTTTAAAATAACTTACGAGAGAATATTAATATCCATTCCTTATCATTGATTGGTTGACACATAAGAGCGTCGATTGAATTCTGAATTAAATACGACAATTCATTGCATTCTTGATTAACTAAATCTGTTAAAAATATTACAAATTAATAACAATAGAAATGATTAATTATTAAGACTATTATAAAATATCATACAAAGAGGCGGTGACTCTCGTTGATTGAGATTATAAACAACGAAATTAGAAGCGGTTCCCACAGCTATTGAACTCGATTTGCAAGCATTTAATGTCTGAATATTTAGTGGCATTTGGATCTCGCGATAGAAAGAGTAGCGACACTTCTTTCTCGTGATTTCAAACAGAATTAAAGTCTTTTTAATGGCAACACAGATATAATTCGTTGTATTCGTAGAAACCAACGCAAAAGTGGTCGCGTTCTTCGTCTCCGGTATTTTAATCCATTCGATATTTTCGTTATCTAAGCCTCGAATCGGAATCAACTGTTTTGGCGACAAAATTGTTACAATTATTGTAATATTGGTTAAAAACAATTTATACTTTTATTTGTCTCTGTTTTCCCGCTAAAGATATCACCAACTGTTCGGTCGCCGAGTGAGAGAGTTGTTGAATACGTTTAGAGTTTGTCAGTCTATGATATGAAGGGATGTCGACATCACTACAGATAAGACAATCGTCGCAACCAATCAATAGTCGCGTTTCATCAATAATAAGGCAACAATTAATGTTATTGTGATGCCTTAATGGACTCATTTGGACAGTCGTTAGGACTGTATGGACACGAAGAGGCTGTTGACAAACGAAAAGCAATAAATTATAAATTTGAAAAAAAGTTTTATCACTTCTCTTACGTTTCGATTCGAGAGTTTATTTCGGCGAATAATTCGGTGTAATTCATGCAAAGCGTCGATCCACTTGTTTTTCTCACTTTCTCTGTCGACTAACATAAGTTGTGTGAATCGTTGAGAGCCGTCGTCTCCTAACATAGAAGTGGTCACTCGGAAAATGCAAGGAATGTCTTTACGGGAGGCGTGAATCACATCACTTTCAAGCACTCCACTCACACTGAAGTATTCATCTCTAAAATAATTTATAATTAATATTTTATAACTTAATAATTGAGACAATGATTTAGACCTCATGTCTATTAGTGTGTTGACCGAAACAAATGGTGTTGTGTTGAGTGGGTTTCCACTTCCCTCTTGATTCAAAGCCGATGTATTATAAGAACTGGAACTCGAACTCAAAGACTCGTTATTGGAGTTGAGATCGTAGAGGAAGAGCTTGAAATCGCAAACCACAACAAACATTCGTATCCATCCCTTGCGAACCCCTCCGCGAGCTTTCGGTATTTTCACATAACCTTATATTCAACAAACAAATCTTTTAGTATTAAACTATTTAATTATTGTTTAAATTGTATTAAAAACCTTCGTAAGCGGTGCCGATTCCGTTCTTGGGATCAATTCCCACCGGTCTCTGCAAACCGTCATCGCAAGGACACGGACTACCGGTGCCCATACAGTTCACATGACACGCAAATCCACAGACTATAACCAATGATATTAAGTTAATAAATCAGAAACGCTAATAAATAATTTGCTGAATACCTTCGCAAACCAATCCCTGTCTGACTAAACCAATCATAAGAGACGTGCAATGATTGCATTTAAGGGGCGCAACAAAAGTGCGGACAATAAATGAATGCTTTTGTTGGGAACAACTGGTAAACCTCTGTGCGTCTGATATCGAAGATGTATCAGTCATGGACTCGAGATCGGATTCAATACTCTGTAATTGGTTTTGTTGGTCGACTGGAGATCGGGATTCCTGTGAGAACAGGATATTAGGGGCAGCAGTGGGTGGAAGGGATTGGCGTTTGTTTTGCTGTTCTTGTATTTTCTGCATTTCAATCCGCGATTCATTCAATTCTGTTAATACAATATTCATTTCTCTCTGAACTCTTTGCAAATCCAATTGTATGCGCTGTTTGTCGTCGATCTCGTTCTGCAATTCGAGTTGCAGTTGAAGTAACTCCTGTTTGTCGACGCGCGCGGACCTCCTTTCCTGCCAACTCTGTTGTTTGCTTTGTGTTGTGAGAAACGGCTGAACCGGTGGTGAATATCTCTGTGCCAACACATACTGCTGTTGTTGGAGTTGAAGTTTTTCGAGCTCTTTAGTCATAGTGGCGGCCATCTGTTGCAGATAATTGCGCGCCTCCTTCTCATTGCCGACCCAATCGATGATTTCGCTGATCTGTCGCTCCCAATTGGGCTGCAATTGTTGCAATTGAAGCACCTGTTGCTCCAATTCGTTTATATGCTCTTCATTCGGCTCTTCCCTAAACACTGATTGTCGCAAATCCAACTGTTGTTCCAATTCTGCTATTCTTTCCAAATAATATTCTTCTTTTTCAACAAAATTTTGATTAATTGGCACTCGATTTGAATCAAACGACTGGCTTTCGAGCAACAAAACCCTTTCTTCAGACTCTTTAGTCATCATTTGAGCTATAATTGAGAAAATATAACGCAAACCATATATTAAATTAAAGAAGGGGTGACTCGTAATTGGATTAAAGTAAGTGATCAATACTACAAACCTTCGAGTCTAAGCTCTTGCTCTTTGTCTAATTGTGTCTGAAGGGCAACGATGTCATCGATCTGTTGTCGCTTCACTTTCTCTGCATTTCTCAATTGTTGTCTTAATTGAGTGTTTTTGTCGAGTTGTTGTTCGAGTTCTTCTTCTTTCGCCCGTAATCTCAATGAAAGGGAATTTTTCTCTTTTTTCATATCAGCCAAAAGAGCGGAAACTTCACTCCATTCTTGTCGCGCGTCCTTCAGCTCTGTCTCGAGAACTAATCGTCGATCCAAATCATGAGTTCCATCAGTCGAGTCATTTTGTACGCTAATCAGATCGGGTGCAGCCGTTTCAGGCAATGGGGGCAACGAATCAAGTACTGAATTATCGCCGTTTTGTTCACAATTGCTTTTATTTAATGTTTGCTTATTTTTCTGTTTAAGTCTCTCTTCGGGTGTCGTGAAAGTGGCCGTAAATCCAACGAATGGTAAATGAATATTAAGTAATGAGTCTTTGGTTGAATTCAAAGCAAGCCCTGCGCCGGCAGTGTTCGGGTTATTATTGGGTGGTCTCAGTTCCTCGATATCAAAATTGGATGTATCTTCGGGTCCGCTAACAGTTGGCTGATATGGCGGTCGCATCGATTGAAGTGAATCCCAATTAATTCCTTTAATTTAAAGTCAATTAAAAAAAATATATAATTTCAATGTTTGGCACTAAAAATTTTAAAACAAAATCTCGGAAATTTGTTTGTCATTAATTTTTACAGGAATTAATAGATGAATTTCAAAGACATTTTGTGGAGTGAATAAGTATTTATCTGAATAAAAATTAATGCCAAACAAATTTGCGAGATTTTGTTTCAATGCGTTATACAATACTGTAATACTATATACCTGTGAACCAGAGGTGACACTTGAATTGTTGCAAACACTTAAACCGTGAAGTTTGGTCAGTAATCAAATTGGAAATGAGATCTTTGGCCTCATCGGTCAAGCTTATTTTTCTGTTTAAGTCTCTCTTCGGGTGTCGTGAAAGTGGCCGTAAATCCAACGAATGGTAAATGAATATTAAGTAATGAGTCTTTGGTTGAATTCAAAGCAAGCCCTGCGCCGGCAGTGTTAGGATTATTATTGGGTGGTCTCAGCTCCTCGATATCGAAATTAGATGTATCTTCGGGTCCGCTAACAGTTGGCTGATATGGCGGTCGCATCGATTGGAGTGAATCCCAATTAATTCCTTTAATTTAAAGGCAATTTTAAAAAATATTTATAATTTAATTGTTTGGCACTAAAAATTTTAAAACAAAATCTCGGAAATTTGTTTGTCATTAACTTTTACAAGAATTAATCGATGAATTTCAAAGACATTTTGTGGAGTGAATAAGTATTTATCTAAATAAAAATTAATGCCAAACAGTGCGAGATTTTGTTTCAATACGTTATACAATACTGTAATACTATATACCTGTGAACCAGAGGTGACACTTGAATTGTTGCAAACACTTAAACCGTGAAGTTTGGTCAGTAATCAAATTGGAAATGAGATCTTTGGCCTCATCGGTCACTTTGGCGTTGACGGGGAACTAAAAGATACGCAAAACCATTTGTTATTATTAATTAACATTATGTTAAACGTGTTTGTATTTATACCTTAAAGCTATGTTTGTGATTCATTATCTTAGAGTAGGTTTCAATGAGAGATTCGGCATAGAAAGGCGTCTCGCCGTATAACGACTCAAATATAACCACTCCCAGTGACCACCAGTCGACTTCATATGAGTACAAAAGGCCTGTAATACCAATACATATTCATCGAATTATGGGTAGTTTATATAATTACAGTTGTGTTTAATGGACTTAAAGACAAGGGAAGGTAGCGAAATTCTTAGAGCCCGATTTTGTATTTAAGTATAAAGTAAATGATTTATTTATTTTCTTATTTAAATACCGAAATATAGTCCGGCGTTCCCACAGCTATCGTACAAACGCCGTCTGTCTTCACATTTGAAACCTTTGCTCAAAACAATATAATTAAGAATAAAACTCAAGAATTTCTATTGAAAACACAAACCTTAATACAAGAACCAAAGTCAGCGAGTCTTATGTGTCCATTAGAATCGAGTAAAATATTGTCGGGTTTGACGTCTCTATGAATATAACCCATTTCGTGAAGTGAGGAGAGCGCTAATATCACGATCAAATCAATTAGTATTTAAGTCTTATAGGATAGCTAATAATTATTTATGGCTCTTATTAAACACTCCATATCTTCGCCGTGTACAGAAGTCCGTCTAACAGCAGTATAAAACTATTATTACAGTTATTTAGCGGAGTTCTTAGTTTGTTTTGTTAGATTTTAAATCAATTATTTAAATAATATTTAATAAATGCAATGGAGAGAGGGAGAGGGAGAGAGAGAGAGAGAAAGAGAGAGTTGGGTGTTGCGAAATAGTGCAGCTATAAGTCCTTATCATACCTCCGATATAGTAATCCATAATCAGGTAAAGATTGCTTTCGTCCTGAAAGGAAAAGTAGAGTTTTGTGAACCAATCACGCGATCCGTGCAGTAATATATCCCTCTCTTCACGATAACAAGCCGTCTGTTTACATAAATTAATTCATAATTCATTTTAGAGACAATAGTTAATAAATTAATGTTAAGAGTAATGATTGGAATTGAATACAAACCTCTGCCCTCTTAAGCATTTCAAGTTTGTTCAATGTTTTCATTGCATATATGTTTCCATTATTTTTGGCCTTAAATTGCATTTTGAAAGAAAAATTTAAAATAAATATACAAAGAAAGAGAAGATGTGATGATAAGAGCAAATGATGTGCAAATAGGATACCTTGACGAGAGCCACCTGACCGAAGGCACCTCTTCCTATCACTTTCAACTGATCAAAATCAGACACTTTTAGTTGTAATTCATTGATCCTCTCAATCAATGGTTTGACAAATTCACAGAACTTTTGCTGTCGTTTATTACGAGTTGTGTTCGCATTCCTGACCATTCATTTCAATAGAAGATCATATTTATAAGTATAAGACATAACAGTATTCATAAAACATTAACATTCAATACTCAACACATGAATCGTGCAAATGAGCACATCATTAGTCCATACAATTACATGCCATTAATAATTGCTTATAATTTATTTAACATCAAAATCTAATCATTTAAATGTGTAATCATTTCAATCACTTTCATCGTATAGTATATGCAAAGTATGACTTAATTTTAGGCTAATTTAGTACACATATAGCAGTATTTAAATCACATAATTATAATTGATTTGCAAATATGAGAGGAAAACAAATGCATTTAAAAATCACTCAATTCTGGGCTTAAATACATAGCAATTAATACATTAATGGATTGAATGTTTGCATATATTTAGTAACAATTAGTGATAATAAGTAAATGATTGAAAACCTGAAGCATTCATAATAGACGGCAATCAAGACATCGGAGAGAAGTTC